GCGATTTTTCTGGCTGTCACCAACTTAAAACTTCAGTTTCTCGCTATGGGAGTGTTCAAAAAGTGTCGGACAAAGTCCATCGGCTTACTAGCTGTTTGAAGTAACAATTTGATAAGTTCGACGACTTTTGCTAGAAAACTGACTGAAATAGTTACAAAATTGCTATAAACTGCATTTTCATGGGTTTTTGACCTTCAACAATTTTGTTTTAAATCGCTTTCAAAATGATAAGATCGAAGAATTCCTGCAATTCTCTAATGTACTTCTTTTGAAATTTCAAATAATCCTGGAACTTCATAAAACACAAGTATGTGCTATATACTGCCCATCTGGTAATAAGAATCGCGCCTCTTGACATACATCCAAACAGACCCATGAGCTTCTTGCGACAGGAAATCATCTTTGCTGAAAATTCTGGCCTTCTGAACTTTGCAAAAACCACACTTTTGTCCCTAGAAGCAAAAAACAGGGAGCTTGGTCTCGAGGGAAAAGACTCAGGGCTCGGGCAGCAAGATGATTGCGCTAAAAGTTTTTAGGTGTCAATATTTGATTATACAGAAACTTGCTGGAAAAATTACCCTTTTTCTCAACCATACTTCTGCTAAAAGCGGAAGCATAAGGAGCTTGGTTTTGAGGGAAGGAAAGAACTAGGGTTTTATACGACAGGACAGTTTCGGTAAGATTGTCCTTCAAAAGAAGGCGCTGGGCCAGCTTCTGTTCAAGAAATGAGCCCGTTCACTGGCAAGACATCATCGAAGAAAATGCTGCTTCGTTTTTACCGACATATCTAAGTTTTTGGCTGCTGGAAGACATAAATTGACGCTTCCTTTAACATGGCACTTTCCTGGAAATCAATCTGAGTTTTGGGATGAATCAGCTGCTCTAAACAGGTGCTTCGAGGTAGCTTCCTTGTTTAAGAGCTGTGGTATCTGGGCAAAGGTATGTGCAAGAAAACAGCAAAGATGCTTTGCGCATAGTCAGTGGTAGTAGCTTCTTTTCCTAAGAGCATAGTGTTTTGTTTCTACTACTCACAACATGCGAAAGGTCGCTGGGAAGATGAAAATTCTCTTTCTTGGGATTTTAGTTAATTAATGGCAGATATCAATGTATCTGCCCCCACCCACCTACTAGCGACCCGTAGGGTCGCTAGTCTTATATATAAAGCTGAATGTCTGTTTGTCTGTCTGTATGTCTGTATGTCTCTCTGTCTGTCTGTGTGTACGTATGTTCCGAATAGAAAATTCCATTTCTGAACCGATCCGGACCAAACTTGGCACACATACACTACGGGCCCCGGCGGGTGTCATAGGCTACTTTTCGTCATCGATCGATATCGATTTTATCGATTTTTATCGATTTTTTTGCTGAGTTCACCTACGGGGCTGGGAGTTGGCACAGGGGGGTAATCGAGCATGGGGATTCCGAATACAATATTGGTTTTCAGGATTATCGATTACTTTTATCGATTTTATCGATTTTTTTGCAAAGTTTGAGCTACGGGGCTGGGAGTTGGCACAGGGGGGTAATCGAGCATGGGGATTCCGAATACAATATTGGTTTTCAGGATTATCGATTACTTTTATCGATTTTATCGATTTTTTTGCAAAGTTTGAGCTACGGGGCTGGGAGTTGGCACAGGGGGGTAATCGAGCATGGGGATTCCGAATACAATATTGGTTTTCAGGATTATCGATTACTTTTATCGATTTTATCGATTTTTTTGCAAAGTTTGAGCTACGGGGCTGGGAGTTCGCACAGGGGGGTAATCGAGCATGGGGATTCCGAATACAATATTGGTTTTCGGGATTATCGATTACTATTATCGATTTTATCGATTTTTTTGCAAAGTTTGAGCTAGGGGGCTGGGAGTTGGCACAGGAGGGGGCTGGAATTTGGCACCCCAAATTTGGCAATTTGGCACCATCACCCCCCAAGGGGGGTGATCAGCATGCTCGATTATACTCCTGTGCCAAATTCCAGCCCCCTAGCTCAAATTTTCAAAAAATCGATAAAATCGAAAAAGTAATGGACGATCCTGAAAACTAATATTGTGTTCGTAATCTGCATGCTCGATTACCCTCCTGTGCAAACTCCCAGCCCCGCAGGTCAAACTTTACAAAAAAATCGATTAAATCGATAAAAGTAGTGGACGACCCTGAAAACTAATATTGTGTTCGTAATCAGCATGCTCGATTACCCCCCTGTGCAAACTCCCAGCCCCGCAGGTCAAACTTTACAAAAAAATCGATAAAATCGATAAAAGTAATGGACGATCCTCAAAACTAATGTTGTATTCGGAATCCCCATGCTCACTTCCCCCCCCCCCCCTGTGCCAACTCCTAGCCCTGTAGGTGAACTCTGCAAAAAAATCGATAAAAATCGGTAAAATCGACATCGATCGATAACGAAAAGTGGACTTTGACACCCGCCGGGGCCCGAAGTGTATGTGTGCCAAGTTTGGTCCGGATACGGCGGAGCCGGGTAAGCCAGCTAGTTTTTCATAAATCTTTGTTAGATACCGCGCTCATGTGCCAAACTCTTGTGCATGCGTAGTATTTAACTCCTTAGAATTTTCATCTATTTCACGTTTTATTCATAATAGTGACTCTTTTTTTTCCTCACCTCCTCCTAAGTCGACAGGTCTCCGATAAGGGTCAAAGGGGACTTCGTAAAATTTTTGGAAATTAAGGAGAACATCGTTTTGAGAAACTCTAGGAACCGACTCCTGCCGGGCCCTGCTGACGATGTCGCGCTACTCGCTGCTCTTGCTGCTACGCGATATGAAGCTCACTTTTGGTGAGCTTTTCTCAGCAGCTTCATGCTACTATCAGCTGATTTCGCTCGCATTCACCTCCTTTTTACCATTTTTGTGCTAGGGATTCCTAGAGCACTTGTTTCTTTGTTAATTATTACAAGAACGTTGAGAGACGTTGAATGCAGGTGCACCTAGAAAGAATGTAATATGAACGAAAGCAACCGCACAAAGCTTTCGAGATCAATGATATAACTACAATGATGATATAGCTAAAATCAACAAAAATTTCAGTCATAGACCTAGTACAACAGCATCGAGTGCATCTAAGGGTCATGCTGCATCCCCCATTTAGAGCTGTCAAACTTTCGTAATTTCTCTAGTAGATATAGTCGTCCCCCCCCCCCTCAAATTTGAATAAGAGCACGCCGGTTGCAGCAGAGCGCGGCCCCGTGCAATCCGTTTTAAGCTGATGCACCGTTCTTTTGTGTTTTCTCGTCGTTATATAGTCATTTTTTTTGTTTCAGTGGTGTTTGTGAACGAACTCAATTTGTTGTTGTTTAGCGATATTTCACACTATTACGCTCGTTTCTTTAGCTCTATTTTCATTTAAGGCTGGAAAAACTATGCACGTGGGGAGTTTCTGATATGAAGCTCATTGAAGTAACATTTTAAGACATCTTTGCTACCGAAAAAAGATTTTACTAGCACAGTTTTCAATCATGATCGTTTCTTCAAGCTTAATCTATACGCAGTTGAAGAAACGAGCATAGCAGCAGTAAACGTCGCTCGAAAACAACAAAATTTTCACACCCAATAAGCAGGCTAACATTCAAAAAAAAAATAGCATGAAACATCAGCAACCGGCGTGCTCCAAATGAACTCGAACACTTCCACTAGGTGTCTATTGGGGAAAGGACGACTATACTTAATGTTTTGCTGTAGTGCGCTTGTTTTGAAAAAAAAATTGATGAGGACAAAATGACTTTCTTTTGAATCTGCTGTATATATTCCAAATCTGACCAAATTTGATGATTAATTTAGCTTATTTTGATACTTCTGAGCTAAACAAAAGAATGTGTAAGGCTATTTCGCTCCTGCATCCAAGTTATGCCCATGTGCATCAGCCAGAAGCAGCTAACGCAGTGAAGGCAGTAGCCTTCACCGCGTTAGCTGCTTCTGGCTGATGTAATAACCAACATATCTCTCGTCAGAATGTACAGGGCTCCTAAATTGCAGAGTCGTTTGCACCAGCGGTCGCGCGACCGCGTCGCGCCCGGGCATTTTGCCGGCGCCCGCGCCATCGATCGAGGCGGCGCCATTGATGCCCGGGCGCGACGCGGTCGCGCGAGCGCTGGTGCAAACGACTCTGCAGTTTAGGAGCCCTGTATGCAGCCTAATATCGGCAATAATGAGGGCCAACGAATACATGATGGAAACTCTGTGTGCAAGTCAGAAATATTGTTGAAGCATTCAATTTACTCTGGTCCAAAAGTGCAACTCAAAAGATCATTCATACTCGATTCTACTCACCGGTAATTACAGCATATTACAGCAGGATACAAATGTGAAACAATAATCTCGAACTAGTATGATTCACAAGGAAAGCATTGATGAAATCGATACGGGAAAGGTGTGCACTTTTTGGATATCAGCCTATTTAGATACAACTTTGTGTTTGCTTATACAGAGATAAGATAGATGAAAAATCAATCTCACAACCTATGAAACCTGACGGCTTCCAAAGTATCTTCAGAATCGAAAAGATATGTAAATAACAAAGAAAAACACTAAATAGGTCCTAGATAAGTAAGCAAACTTGTACATCATCCGACTTTGCGTAATTCTACCACGTGCCTCCCGAACGGGTCTCTGACCGTACCAGATAACAAAGTGGGCCCCTTTAGTGAAGGCACGCAGAAGCAACTATTACAGCTCACATCTAACTCTGACTACTTGTCTTCGGCTTGTGATACTATCTAAGCAATAAAAAATGAGACATAAGACAGAGACTGAATAAAAGTCATCTAAACAACACTTTCTCCAAGTGATTTGAACACGAGTGGAAGTATCATAAACCTAAGATCTCGCACTCATTGCTACGAGTACTACCTTGGATACGAAGGACGAGAAGTTGATTGTCAGTTGCAACGTACCAGCTATGGAGCCCCGCTTTCGCCATTTCTTGGCAGTTATTGTGACATACCAAAATATAGCGACTAGAGGTGGACTAACTCGAGGTAGTTTGCTACCCGTTACTGACGTAAGCCTGAACGACATCCGGCACAGGTCGTCGGCGAGGCACAGGCGGTGGCGGGAGATGCAAAGGTTCGCCACTCTCACCAACCTCATCAGAAGGATGACGAGACTAAAGCAGTCATTGCAAAACATTCACATTTTTCAATTTCTATTAGATATCCACCTTACCCTGCTTATCATGCTAATATAACAACTAATTGCCCGATATAAAAACACATATTGCGCTTCTGTCTGCACCATACGACTACGTTGTTCACGAATTTTCATCACAGTCCTAGGAATATCTATAGGGCAGGAGCTGCCTGAACGAAGTGATCTTACGATTTCAAGAATGGAGCATACTTAGCCAATTACCTCTATGGCGTATTTGATTCAATAGAATATCAATCACGATGAAGGTTCCCGTTCTTCCAATACCAGCACTGTAATTCGCTAGTTCAATCAGATGTGACAAATGTTGCTAGAGTCCTGAAAGGTTACCAACCTGCAATGAACAATGACAGGGCCCTGAGTAGAGATTGCCTTCTTGCAAGCTACATCTACCGCTTCCAAAAAGCGCAGTACCGACTCTGGATGCTCGGGACATCCATGATCCGGCCAGCCTATGAACTGAAGATGGAATAGTTCCCTTTGTGGCATACCTGCAAGATTGCAAAGTGAAATATTCGCCTGAGAACAACAACAGTTTAGAGACCGTTGGAACAGTTCGATTCAATGTGTATACCACAGCATCACTAATGACGTCTAGCTAGCAAGACTGGTGAATAGCGAGTGTCACAATCTCCAGATGGAAAGATACTGAATCGCACGGCAATCCGACATGCTCATCAAAACAGGTAAAGCAAAAAAACTATGGATGAGCTCCTTGGACTGCTTGTTCTCAGGCAATAAGCTATAGCATAAGTGGCGCAGTTCGCGAAAGCGGAGTCCCAATAGAAACATTCCTTATCCCATCCCCGAAAATTTCCGAAATGCTAAATTTAGATCTGATTTTGCTAAAGCAACTCGAGCAGAAGACTCGAAAGTCCTAGGGGCGCCTAAGGTATGCAATGAAAGAACATAAGCTGAATTCAGGCTTTTATGAGAGCTACTTGATCGGATTTGCATTATATCGTGCATTCTTTTCAAATCTGCAGCAACAAGCTAATGGCAATATAATCACGTGAAGAATAATCGATGGGTTATTCACCCTTTCTAGATCAAGAACTTTCAAGTTTTCACCACTGATTGATTTGCATGGCCCTATGCACACCAAAGAGGACCACATTTCATGAGCACAGTTATACCGGAGACATACCTTTTTTGGCTACCATAAATCGTCTCTTGATAAACATATCCAGCCCATTATCACCGGGGACTTTGATCTCCTCAACAGTCTTGATTATGTATTCGCGAAGATTCAATTCCTCTCTTAAGGCTGGCCAGTACACATGACATTTGCTCTAAAATCAGTGAACTAACAAAAAAAAGATGATGCATCAGCATGAAAAAATTACCCGCGAACGTTCCATTTCCTTCGTTGTCATAACAATGACACGACTATTTTCCTGCCAAACCATTCGCCAAAAGTCAAGTAAAGTGTTGGGCAAACAGCCTTGTGTGGAGATGTATTCTCGATCCGCGTACAGATGTAGTGGTGGTCCCTTCGGTATCTACAATTGGACGCTGAGACGTATGACAGCTGAACAAGTTAGTATCTGGAACACATAGTTGTGATTTGTTCAGCACTCGTTTGATACGTCCTCACTCACAAAGTTCCATTCTAGGAAAAACTCCAGACAACACTACATTTTGGGGGAGGAGGGGGGGGGAGGGAGGGAAGGCGACAATGCTCGGTGGGACTTTGGGATATGAAATCTCTCCCTCGCAAACTGCGGAGAGCATCTTGGCCTAAAGGAAAGCGCAAGAAATACAAGTGCTCAACTGGCCGAATGACTACTAAGGTTATGGGGAGGTTATGCCGCGTTAAAGGCACCGTTCTCCCAAAATAGGATCGATGAAATTTGATGCCTAAGGCTGCGTTCATACTGATCCCGAAGTCCGAGAACAGTTCCAGCACAGCGCTTGAACTGAGCGCTGTGCTAGAACTATTCCCGGACTTCGGGATCAGTATGAAAACAGTCTAACAGTAGTGGGTCCCCAACTGTATATTTATCCAACTCGCGCTGGCAAAAATTGCTTCCGAAGCTAGAAAATTGCTTTGAAAATCGCTCGGATGATAGATTCGCCACGTTGGCTCCTCCCCTTTGAGTGGGCGTGACGTTCGCCCCTATCCGTGCGCGTCCAACCATCACCGTTCCGAAGAAACGCTCTGCGGGCTCTGAAAACTTTTCGTGGTTTTCGCGGATTTCCGACTTGATATTCGGAATCAAAGGTATGAAAAGGCCCTGGAACGGCAAAAACATGGATGTCGAGATTTTGGGTGGACGATGCCTTCAATTACAAAAATGATAATCATTTTACTTGGCAGGGTGTCTTTATTATGTACGGTGATTGCGGAGAGGCTTGTGCTGGACAGTGTGGTCTTCGACTAGTTTGTTTCTATGCAGCAGCCGCTGCGCTGTTATACTTGGGATAATCCTAACACTAGTACCCTGCATGAGAAGACTTGGTACCCAGTATACTCCAAAGTGCTTGAAAAAGTTATAAGCACTGATTATATCGCTCGACAGCATACTTGGCACTCTTCATTTTCGCAAGTGCAATCCATACTTTCTCCTCTCTCTTCTGCGACTGCTGGTACAGGTTCTTCAACGAGGAAGACCTTTGCAATGGAAGTAAGATGGAGTTTTTTGACCGTCTCTTCATCACCATCTCTCGGTAACATGCTCTAGTCTCACACATCCTTTAGACTTCATGTTCACAAGAAGGACTTCTTTTGCTTGGAACCACAAAGGGAATCAAAAACCCTCATTGATTTGGGCTTATCCGTAACGCTGATCCCGGAGACACATTTTAGAAAGCGCGGATGGCACTCTGCAAGCCCTTGATTACAAACTTGGAAGCCTGGACGCAAAGCCTGCCAATGTCAGTGGTGCAGTCGCTGCCGGACCTTATGGTCATACTGTGCGATCTTCTCGCTTCAGCAAACGCTAGTCACTTGGTCCAGAAACTGTCGAGTGGACACTATCAGAGACCCGTCATACTTCGCCGAGAAAAGCCCGAAAGCGCCCAAAAAAGCCCAAAAGCGCTCAAAAAAGCCCAAAAAGCCCGAAAGCGACGGGACGCAGGAACAGTCTTTTGGTAGAATTCTGACATTATTTTTGTGCAGACGACAGAAAATGAACCAAAAAAACTCGGTTGTGAAATCAGCACACATGCCTCAGCGCCAAAACGCGCGCGCGGAAGGGAGCGTTCCGGCTCTTTCTGTCGCTTTTGGGCTTTTCTCGGCGAAGTATGACGGTCCCTCAGAATTCGCCATTATTTTAATTACATCTGCCCAGGCATATCTTCAACTCTGCTCTTTCGTTATTCGAAATATCATCCTCGCTCCCCCTCGAAATCCATTTTTGAATAGAACTTCTTCCTTGTAGTCGGCTTTGCACAGATACTTCTCATTGAGCTGATACGCTTGGCAATTTCCTTCCAGCTTCAACTTATGCAAGTGCTTGACTTCAGCCTCTTCCGCTTTATTACTCTTTGTGCCCTTTGATTCAACGGGATTAGCGGCTGAACGGCGGGGCTTCGGGACCCAATCAAAGCTAGAAAATGATCAGGCAGCATGCTTGTGAGGGAGACGCAGACTGCGTCGCGGTGCAGCGGTCGCCTTGCAGCCGCCCCAAATCAAAGGGTACTTTGTCGCTACATCATTGTGTTTCCACCAATCTTCTTCTTAGGCCCGTATGCACGTACATCCCCGCGGGGATGTACGTGCATACGGGCCTTAGTGACTTCGTTACTGAAGGAAATGACCGAGGGTAATGTGGCACTTACTCTGATGTAGCTGGCATTGATATAATCCGACTCATTGGGAGGTATGTCCTTGAGGATGACCCTAAATGTAGAATCTTGTAGGCCTATGGCAGATAAACAGAAGGCACAAACCTAGTGTGATCAAATGGCACAATGTTCTTATAACGATTACGGCTAACATTCTGCTCCTTTTTCCCCTCTCGACGAGAGGAGAATTGATCGTCCACTTGTTGTATGCGCTTAATCATTTCAGTCAAGCAATACAGTCTCGAATAATCAACATTAATCGAACACAACCTCGAACTCCTCAAGAAATCCTGACTTCTTAGTCACAGGATCAACCTCCTCAAGCAGCCGAATTCGCTCATCAATTGCATCTGCTGGCACGCATGTTGATGGAATCAGCTGCAGATTGATTGGATTTGACAAAAAGAGTAAAAGGCACTGAGACGCTCACATTCATCAAATGAACCACTCTCTGACTGCCTTCCTCTACCATTGGATTATTATTATAATGCGCCAGAAGTTCACCAACAGTTCGAAATTCATCACCACCGCCCACATGATACATACCAGTCTGCAGAGACAGTCACTATGATTAGGCATAATCAAGAAAACCGTCAAACTCACATCAGCCTTCTTCTGTATCAGTATATGAACAACATGATCATCCGTCGTTTTCACCGTTATAGCATAAGAGCCTGGCGCACGCTGACTTTCCCTAAATTGTGTTGATCTAATGATGGCAAAGTTGCTCCGCAAATATGAAGGCAACTTTGGCTAGATTAGGGTGTAGAGATCCCTGTCGCTTAAGCGCCTCCAAAAATTCGGTTACTATCGACACATTGCGCTTCATCAAAAGTCGAAATGCGAGCGGGAAGCGCAAAAAGTGCGACGTAAGCAGAAAACAAGAGTAACATAATGGCAGAAATCAGGAACAGTAAGACCGTGGAGGTGGCTGGCCAAAAGTTTATTGGCCTTTTGATAAAAAGCGATTGTGGCAAACGCCGTACATATCCACTTCATCCACTTCGCGGATACTTTACGCTTTACTTTACGCGATTATCGTCACCAGACAATCTGGCAAACTGCAGATGTTTTCAAATCCAACGCAGACCACAAAAGCACAGCGTGTATGATTCATGTAATCTGGTAAAATGCCATACTTTTGTACATTCGAAATTCGCTCACGAGATTTGAGCAGATCGAGCATGCTGATCACCCCCGTGGGGGTGATCAGCATGCTCGATTACACCCCTCTGCCAAATTTCAGCCCCCTAGCTCAAATTTTGCAAAAAATCGATAAAGTCGATAAAAGTAATGCACGGTTTCGAAAACTAATATTGTATTCGTAATCAGCATGCTCGATTACCCCCCTGTGCCAAATCCCAGCCCCCTAGCTCAAATTTTGCAAAAAATCGATAAAATCGACATCGATCGATAACGAAAAGTGGACTGTGACACCCGCCGGGGCCCGAAGGGTATGTGTGCCAAGTTTGGTCCGGATAGGTTAAGAAATGGAATTTTCTATTCGGAACATACGGCGGAGCCGGGTAAGCCAGCTAGTATAGTATAAGACTGCTCGGAAAGTAGACAGTCTGATCTATTTTGCATGCTGGTTAAAATTTAGTGCACCACATAGATATTAGTGGCGGACTGTCACACGAGTTTTTGGAGAAAAAGTAAAGGAAGAAGAGTCATTCAGACAGGTGTTTGAGATCCTTTCACAAAGATTCGGTGTTACATCTCACGCTTGACCCTACTGACAATGAAAGAAACGCTCTGGTTCGAAACGGAACTAAAGAAGGAATTGTGGTGAATAAGGTAATAAATAAGAGCGCAAGACATTGCTGAGGAAGGACTATAACAAAGTGGCAACCTTAGATTTATTTTTTGACAATCGCTATTACTGCCAAACTTGACTGGAGATGAAATGAAGAGGTATCGAAGGTAAAGAAGCGGAGCTCTGAAAGCCAGCACAGTATGCTTCAAAGTTTTTCTAACCTAACAAGATAAGTCCACTGCTTTTCCTTTGCGAGAAGATCAACAGCTTCGGTGCCCGTAATATTAGCGTGAAACCATCGTTGTGAAGCTGGAGCGCGTGCTTCTTGTGCAGCGGGTTCGTACAACGGTATGGAGACAGGACGCCTAGAAAAAACATAAGTCTTCCAAAGGTCTTGAAAAACACAGTATATACATATGGTGCTAGATATAAAATGTGCAACTTACTTCATGGTAATTGACTCTCCATTACGTTCTTGTAATTGTTCCGGATTATCTATATAAAATTGGACTAGCTCACTCAATGATGCAAACGATTCTCCTGTAAACAGCATAAACAGAAAATCTATGGAGCAAAAAATATTTGAGCACATACCTCCAAATAAATCTAAAAAGTCGTCACTATTTTTCTGGATTTTTACATGAGTGATTGCTTTCCCTCGACTGAAATAAATGAAAATTAGTACTTGATCTTGGTAATTACACATGCAGTTTGTCGAAGGAAAAATTCGGTGGCGGTGGCGCCCCATACCCCAAGGCCTAAGGCCGTGGCCATACCTCACGCGATTTCAGTGCCACGCGTTCTGGCAATTTGCCAGATATCTTCAAATTCAATACTGGCAGACCCCAAATGCATAGCACGTATAAATTTCGTAGGTTGATAAAATGTCCTATCTTCCGTATATGCAGAAACCCCTTACGACGAGTTATGAACTACTGGAGTATTGCCAAATCGCGTGAGGTATGCCCAGGACAGACATCCATACCTCCCGCGATTCCGTCAAATCGCTGAATCTTCGCGACTTGACAATTTGGAGATACGCATTCATCATGCGCTGTTTTCGAATGCATAGGCGCGCAGCTTTTGTAAGTTGATCAAGTCCTGATCAAACTGATCAAGTCCTGTCCAAGTCAATGGCGTTCACGATCATTTATGAAGAGTCGCTGTAGTGTAGAATCGCGCAGAAGTAAAATCGCGTGAGGTGTGTCAAAGGCCTTATGAATCCCAAGCTTCGGTTCTGTACTGGCTACATAACTTGGAGTAATAAAAAGGAATACTTACAAAAAAAGGAAATGATTTGGTCTAGCATTAAAAAAAATGACATGCCAAAACAGATTAAAACGCTAAGACTTGTTTAAACAGCTTGCAATGCTAAGTACGAACACAGTGTTCTATAGTATGGAAATTTATTATTTATTTCGAAAGAAGTACGATCCATGACTAATTTCTTAGCCTTCTAACTCGTTTTGCATGCATTCGCAACCTTGATGCTCGTCTCGAAGACAGCGAACAGTCTGCGCTGCAGTGGTATCTTCGGACTATGTCCTGCTGTTTGTATTTTGTTTTGCAAAGTGTTCCAAGGACGAACAGTGCTCGTGGAACTCTGGAGTCCTAAGTAAGAAATTAATCAAGCAGCAACGCAGACGGTGCACCCATGACTGAGATACTCGTCACCAAACTAGACCAGGCTACTCTACTTAGCGGACGATTTGCATCGGGTGGCATGCTACTGGGGGAGACTCGCTCCAAAACACAGCTTATGCAAACCAATAATTACGGAAGTGGGAACAGATGCCTGAACACGAGAGACGGTCAAGAATGCGATTTTCCTGCAGGCCACAACTCAAAAGTCCAGTTCCGTGATGTGCGATGAACAATCGTATAGTCGATGTTATCCTTGAGTCTTTCGTAACTCAATATGTGAATCATTAGGCGCGGCAAAGACACCCTTACTAGTATACAGTAAGTTCCAACCGAGTGTAGACAGAAATGTGACTTGCGGGCGTTTGCCTCGCAACGGTTCGCACCGACGGGCATCTCAGTTAGGTACGCCTCCACGGACTACTGGTCCCAACACGATGCACAACAGTACGACGAAAGGACTAGCAACCCGCGGAGGCGGTGCCTAATTGGGATGCGTTCCTCTACCCGGTACGCGCCGTTTCGCAGCATGTTGTGCTGGGAACCTGTCTGCGCCTCTTCAATCTCCTCCGTCTTTGTTTGACAAAATTCCAGCGCTGTTCGCTCGCAAGCCTCCAGCGGTGCGGAGGCGCCGCCACATGTGAAATGTTTCGCCTCTTTTTAAAAACAGACTGTAGTTGAGTGTACTGTGACGCCCAGGCTGAACGCCCGCGCGCTGTCTCTTACGGGCTAATATTGCCTTCGCGCGCATGAGTTATCATCAGGGTCAAGCGTGGGGTGCGGCACGCCACACCTGGGGGATCGTATTGAGGAGTCAAAAGGGGAGGGGGTCGTAGTTGGGTAATCTGATAATAATGATAACATGATATTTGTATCATATCCATAATTAGCATGTCAATTAACCCCTGTAGACAAAGTGTGAGCAAATTCTGAAGATTCAAGATACCAGGTTACCTAAATGAAATGGTCAAATTCCAACATGGTTAACTTTGTTTCAAAGGTGAATTAGCTATCCGTTTTCGCCCTCAAGACAAAGCAATACTCCTTTTTTGTCCACCTCAGAAATTCCGCTTCAGAAGACCTGCAAACTGTGGAATTAGAAGCCAACCAAAATCTCGTTTTTCCCATTTTTCGAATTTGATCGCTGTGCTTTCACCAAATATTACTCAGAGCTAAGAAGACGAATCAGGCTCCAAACAGTCCTATGGAATCTACAAGGTTTAGGTTATCGATTCATATAAATACTGTCCGCTAAAAAAGTTTTTTTGATATAGTTAATGGGGTGCGGCACACCCCCTTAAAAGCTGCGGCTGCCGCAGCTTTTAAGGGCGTGTGCCGCACCCCCTTAACTTACCTAAAATCCAGAAAGCGCTCCATTGCTGGTATGAGTATTGAGCACATAGCTTCTTCTTGCTACACTGGAAATTTGCAGCCGAACGCCCCACCCATAAGAAAATTATGGCCCTTTCAATATGCCCATTCAGATCAAAATCAGACGTCAAATCACGTGTGATTGTAAAGTGCAGTCACAGAAAATACAGCTCTCAGAAATCTGAAAACTCTCTAGAAAAAGCTGGTGTCCTCCAGAATGTCACACTTTGAGGTCCAGAGGTTAAGAGGAGGAAGAAGGGGTCGTATGAGGGCTTGGGAGGGGGCGGTTGTTCTCGAAAGACTTGTGCCTGACCTCTTTCTCAACTCTGGTAATGCTATTTTAGGTATATAGTTCACGGGGGGGGGGGTCTTATTAAGACAGCAATCAGGGGGGGGGGGGTCGCAACCAGCAATCGTGTGCCACACCCCTTGCTTGACCCTGGTTATCATAGCGCCGCGCTGCGTTCAGCCTATAGGCAATATGTGCGATTACATGCACTGACTTTACCTCCTCAATATGACCTTTCCTAGCGTAACAAACTGTACAGATGTCTCTACTACTAACTAATACATACCAGTCAAATTGAAAGCAGCAAGAGACAAGAAGAAATCACAATCAGGTTGTAATCCAATAGAGTCAAGTGCGCGCATGGTGTGCGACATGCATATCAGCTTGCAAATGACTCTACTACGTTATAACAAGACTTATCAATTGCAGAGTCAGGCGCAAGCAACTCCGTTCCAGCGCGTCTGCCTCGCCTGGACTCTGCACCTCTTTCGCGAACATCTCACACGAGGTGGGAAAGAGGAAGCTTCATTCGCTAGTCAAGCGTCCGAAAATGATTAGTGAGCATGTTCGCGAAAGAAGTACAGAGCCCAGGCGAGACGGCCGCGCGGAAACGGTGATGCTAGTGCACCCGATACTGCAACTGGTAAGCCCTGCATATACAGACACATACACACGGAAGCTCTCAACAGTAGTGGCAAGATGCAACTTTCGAAAGAATCTGTGATTCGAAAGAGAAAGATCGTAGCGTACTGAATGATCTCTTGGATGAATCAGCTCGAGTGGTACTTCAGCATGGGGACAACCTCGGATCTTCAGAGAAATGTATAAAAAATCAGAATCGCAGTGCTCATGGTAAAACGTTGTCCTGCTTTTGGGATTGAGTAGTAGACTAGTTACGATAAATAGTCAATTGAGCGTTACGGAATTCAACCATGATGAATGTGAGGAGAGGTGACCAGTAATGAACATTTTTTGATACCTATGTCCCAGTCAAGGGCCCAAAGGAACCTCAGCTGATCCTTTCTGCCTACTAGTGAGCTTTTCGGTAGACTCTGAGAGGACTCTATAGTCGTAATCCTAACAGAAGAGTATAACATCATCTTAGTTAAGTTCTTCTTATAAAGATTAGAGTTCTTGCCCTTTTGGCTCATCAGTCTCTTGCTGCTTCGCTTTTTCTTTGTTCATCATCGCATATAATCTGCATCATTTTGTAGTTATTCATTTTCTAACTAGTGACTCACTTTTAGCCCAAAAAGATGATCCTGTCATATGAAATGATAACCCGATGCACTGAAACTCAACAAAAGCTTACTGCAATCTCTGGACGATATGTGGAGCAAATCATCAGAAAAATTGCAGTTAGTTTTTCAAAAGGATATGTCATTCAAATGGATGTGAAAGAAGAAGCAAACGTGAAAAGTATAATGCGTTCAAAAACTGGAGTGTTATTGTCAGCGATGAGACTGCAATCTCTACTTTCATATTGTATCACTCTTACGTTATGAAAGTTTTCAAAGAAGTTTTGCACATGTAAACATCAATCAGTTGAGCACATAGAATTAAAATCAATAGAAATCAGAGGAGGGTTGAATCACAAACGGGCCATACCGTTGAGTTTTGAAGGCAGCGGCTCGGCAGAATGACAACTTTGGGATATTCATCGTTCTCGGTTCTCCTAGAGCTAAGTCTAATACTGTGCTTTGCAGCTTCAAAAGATATCAATAACCCACTTTTCCAGACTATTTGAGGGCGGACCGCGTATCTGCCCTCTAGAGCGCGATTGGCTCGTGAGTGGAGATACTGTACCCACCGTACCCACGAGCTAATCGCGCTCTAGAAGGCGAATACGCGGTCCGTCCTCAAATAGCGCTTTTCACGTCTGGAAAAGTGGATTATTGATATCTTTTGAAGCTGCAAAGCACAGTCTTGGACTTAGCTCATCCAGTGGAACACAGAATGAGGAATATCCCAAAGCTGTCACTCCGCCGAGCCGCTGCTTTTAAGCGAGCACCAACTCTACACTCATCAGTGAGAACAAAAAAAACAGATTTCCACTAATGCGGTCAAATCTTCAGTGAAGCAAATGGAACAAAGGTAGCGAGCAGATATCATCAAAAGGCAACAGAAGAGTTGCGATGCAAGTGCGTTTATCTTGCTTGGGTATCCGCTTTCATGTGGGATTAGACTTTGGCTACCGTGACAAGGTTCAATAAGTTTGCACCAGCGTGCACACATTTCCAAAAAGGAAAATACTTGATGATCACAGTCATTTGATGCAAAATGTATATCAGATGCAAATGCAAATTGTAAATGGATACAAATGTACGAATAATTCCGAGTCTGCCTTCGATATTTGGTTTTCCAAAAGAAACGATAGGCGTTTTTGCCAACATCAAAAAACTGCAGTGAGACAGCAATGATTATGATATCGAGAATGATCGGTAAAGCATTAGAAAACATCCACAAGACATCAACATCACATTCAGCTTGAATAATGTTTCAAATACAACTGAGATGAAAAGCTCAGATGCTGACGCCACGACCTTGTGGTCAGTTGGAAAAAGAAGGTATTGGCAGATATCAAGTTAAATTTATTTACGACAACAGTCACCAAATATCTTTGTAAGATTCGTAGCAGTTCCAAACTAAAAGTTGACTTACATGATAGATAGCGTGAAGTTGTGAGGTTGTGATTCACTCGGCCTTGCAAGAAACTCGCCATCATTGCCGTACTGTCTCAACAAACGCTCAGCTTCCTCGCCGGTCACATTGTAAAAGAAGTTACAAGGTCTACGATAATCACTCATGTACGACAGATCCGAGCAGCAAATCCTGAAATATACTGATTTTGCCTCTTTTGTTGATTTAAAGTTGATTATCAACAGATTGAAATTACATCAAAAGTCAACATTACAGTCAATGCCTTTGAGTGAGAACTTGCGTATCCGTCGTCGTATGCTAGGGGAAAAAGTCTGTTTTTGGTCAGGTCTTCGGTTGACCGCGCGCATTTGTTAAGAAAATGTCAAGCAGATACTCAGCTGTACAAAAGTGAAAAAAATTAGATCTGGTAATCAGCAGCTCAAATGATTTTTCGAGGTGCCAACCAAATTTTTGCACTCTCTTATTCAAGGCTGTCATCTCATCATAGCCAGATACACAAACAGCAAGTAAGAAAGATTTACTCATTATCATTCATTATGTGACTAATTGTAAGAGACTCGGGTATGCTTTGCATACTTTGCCAAAATCAGCTTGATCGTGCCTTTTACAATTATACCTGTGATCTATCTGGTTTAAGATCATATACCATTTGGAAACAGAAAAAAAACAAGTTTAAACGTTCTAGACAGTGTGCGCAAAGGGATCTCAAGTTTTTTAGTTTCATTATCGTCTGTGCCACAACGAGGTTCCCATAGTTGCCACCGCTCGCGCGCTCAGCTCACTGCCTTGCGCTCTTTTTAACATGTTAACCTCAGCAAATCGGAGGGTTCGTTCATACTACAGCCTAGCAGCCTAGCGCAGAATGTCGCAGTCTGCGGCGTGCGCCCAATCGCAGCGAAAGAATGCCCATGCCACAGCGTTTCCGTTTTATAGATTTTCCACTGCTGTGAACTTTCGTGTTCTAGGAAAATATTCGCTAAGAGTTAGCAGTCATCTTTTCCTTTACCCTTGTCTCATCACAGGTTCGATGTTTTTTCATTCAAGCTGAGTTTGGGTGCGTTCTCGATTTCATCAAACTGTTTCGCTTCAGTTAGTCCTCAGTTACTGACTTCACTGCGTCATTCTGTCTGTTATCACTCTTGAGGTAACCGAATTTTTGCAAATAAAATTGTCGCTTTATCCATAGCAGATTACATGTATGACGAAGTTATTATGAGATTCTGCACATGAATGTCGACAAATCGCAAAGCAGCGGTGGCATGAGCACAGTTTCGCTGCTGATGTTTAAGTTTCGTGCTACAAGCCCTATCATCCAACCTGCTTATGAGGCTCAACGGTTTGTTGCTGAGCCTTCCTTTCTTGTCTTTGACAGCGTAACTCTCCTCTTTGTATCCAAAACGGCATCGGCACTCCAAGCAGGAATGCACTCTTTATCCTTCCTCCAAGGTTCAGCTCAATGAGACTGTGGCTACTCGGTTACCAGTCTGGAGAGAGCTTTATGCCACCAGCCAAAGGCTTCTTTTGAATCGAGTAATCTTTGGGATCATAGTCTGTTAGAAAATACAGTATGCATCAGCAAAAACACACGATCTTCATCGAGATAATCCGCCTTACAAAAACGCTCACAGGGGTAAGAAACTCAATCAACGCGAATGTTGTGACTTCAAAGCTAATTGTATTTGCAGAGCAAGATGGAGGAAATGCTGCGGAAAAAAGGAATCAGTGTATCATATGCACTTGCTGCTTTGTTATTGAAAGCAGATAAACGTCAGTACAGCATCATTTGGTTACCACTTGCTCTGATACTCTTGTATACATGGCAAATCTTCGCGACAGCGGTCGGGATAACTATGGGGTCCCAGACAAAGTGTATCAAACTAAGTAAGTCAAGCTTCAAAATGAGGTCTCAAAATCACCAGAAGACTGCGTTCACACATAATTCAGCTTAATTCAACATTGTCTTATTGACACCTAGCAATGCACCAAATATGAGTCGATTATTCCTCTGGGGCATCGTCTGAGTTCCTCATATCACTTCTACGACGATAGTTAGAACTTTAGTTAGAAAAAAAACATACACTATGAGCATTACTCTAGCACTTGTAGAGAACATGTATGAAATTCGGCGGCAGCACCTCTTCCACATCTCTTTTTCCGCACTTGCGTGTGACTGGGGTATCGTTATGGAACTGGTTAAACTCATAAGAATGACAAGCGATTCACTATAATTCTTAGAGAGATGTGACTTGAGTATAAACTAACGTTCTGTGAGTTCCTAGAGCAATAACGAAAAAATTAAACTATTGAAAGAACAAAACTTAGAATATTCTTTCCCGTTTCATTCATACCACTAGATGGATAAAAACAGAGTACGATCTTTACCGGAAATCATCAGTAGTGTTGAAAGATCTTATGTATGAGTTGACAAACGAGACTAAACTTAACGTTCGTTTGAAACCTTATTCTGATTTCAATCTTCCGATTGATGGGAAAGACCACAAACTTGGGTAATTGAAACAAAATGCGTTTCATGCCTACATAACTATTATTATTTAAGTACTATTATTAGAAACCTGAATCAAAATTTTAAGCTATAGTAGCTGAATTTCTGCACTTCCGTCTAAGGCATCGGTCAGACCTTGAAAGGGCCGAAAAGCGCCTAAAGAGAGATTGAAGAAATTTGAGCGTTCTTAAGCGAACTCTGATAGATGCCTAACATAAGTGATGAGACCTTTTGAATGTTACATAGACTTGCTTTATATACATAGTCATTTTTGTGGATTTGTATATAAGCGACTTTAAGATTGCCAACCGCCTGTTCATAGTGCTTTTCGTCTATTCAATTGCACCCTTTTTATAGTCTAGTGAACCAGTTGGATCCAGATTGTATGGAGACCCCAAGTCCAGTATAGTGCGAGCGGGAAAAGCAAGAACAGTGTTGGTAAAAACAAAGCATTCATTTAGTATCACACATATGTGGTGCCCAAGTGATCTATGCTCTTACGATGAGTAAACATAATTGTAATGTAATAATTACAAAGCAAGCCGCGTTCAGGGCACTTTGAAAAAAAGCGATGCAAGTAAGGCCCTGGCCAGACTTCGCTCGCGCTCAAAAGCGCCCAAAAGGGCTCAAAAGCGCCTAAAAGCGCCCAAATTTCTCTAATGTCTCTCCACTTTCTCGTGTGAGGAGAGATGAGAGAAATTTGGGCACTTTTGCGCGCTTTCAAGCGAAGTCTGGCCGGGGCCTTATGAATAATCCCAATATGACTGCATTAAACTACTCACCTCATTATTAAATCCGGATTACTGCTCAAAAAAGAACCATTTTGCAGCTCACTTTGACGACAAAACCTAAAAAAGATGACGATATGAAATCTAGACATTTCATCCAGCAACGCAAAGACGAAAAAGGGAAGAATATGGTGTGGTCTGGGTTATGGCTATTGGCTATCGATAATGAGTGGGAAGATACAGTTCACTGAGATAGATTATACGTTTGAGAATAGATAACGCAGCTTTCACCACGATTCTTTTGAGCGAACTCTGGCCGAAGCTTCAAATAAACTGCATTTTCATTAAAACTTGCTTGCAGCTTTTCGTCGCTATACCTCTAATTGAGAGCATGTTTTCAGAAAAAAATTGAAAGGAGAATCAAATCAATCGGAAATAGACGAGAAAAGCAATATCTGAAGTATCATGTGATATCAACAGGGAAACACATCACTGACAGATAAAACTGTTGCAGGCGGAGCAGAACGACATCCAATAACTCCCAATCGCACAATAGAACACTTACAAAAAAGCTTCATACTACCCACTTTCCGTTCCAAAATAAAAACTTCCAATAAATATCAATGAGGACAGTATAAAGGCTACTGCAGGATGAAGCAGTATTAGTAGAGCGGGCGCGAGCTCGGCGCGCGCTTTCATCGTTGTGAACACTGCGCTTAACACGTTGACGACCGCGCCATTTTGGGCGAAACTCCCACTAACGTCCTTCGCGCATTTGGCCCGTGCATACGCGCGGATGCACGAAAACACTATGTGGGATTCTTTTTGTCACTTATTTATAAAACATGCGAACTTTGTTCAGACATACAGGTATATCACAGAGCCTTACCAGGACTTACACAAATCAAGGTTTTTGCATCGATTTTCCCTCCAATAATCCATGCAATGGCTATATCTGAGGGATCGCTTTTCGAGAAAAGCGTTATAAAACCAGATGTTTTTTGTCTGATTCATCTTTGTTTGGTTTCAAAACAGCTATACAGAGTTTTCACCTTCTCGAGAAAACGTAATTAGCATGTATTGACTACATCAAAAACGTACTGATTACCCAATTTTGCGGCCAAAACTTCTGAACAGCTGCCGCGATGCCCTGTGTTCTGTAAGACAATCAGGTCACTAATAGTATTACTGCATAGAAGTTACCTCAAAACTTTTCGTTTGCACCTAAAAAACTAGCGTGCATATTCGCGGATGCACGAAAATGCTAAACGGGAGTCAGGGCGTGCATACGTGCGGATACACAAGGTCGTCAACGTGTTTGCGCTCTGCGGCTGATAAAGCCGTGGCACCCAAAACTGTTGCGCCTTTGTCATGGAGTAGCCTATCGTACATCCCCAAGAATTGTTCCCATATGAAGCATCAACGTGGCAGCCTTTCGATCGTCTTTACAAGTTAACTCCAGCAAATTTAGGACGCTTATTCGAAGCTGATATGTTGGAATGATCAAAAGCCAGCCACGTTGGTGGTTCATATGGGAACAATTCTGGGGAACCACCGTATAAATCAGTCCGCGTAGCAACTGCGGCACCATAGACCACGCTGCGACTGCTCGGTAATTTGAAGGAACCCACCTTTAGGCCCCGGGCAGACTTCACGCGATTTGATCGTCGCGGCTGAATCGCGAGGAGACAACTGTTACAACATCATTCCATGCAGATCAACTTGCATTCGGTTGTGATACTTTTCCAGACCGAAATTTTTGAATGTGAAATGAAAATGAATGGAAATCTTGGCGATTTGGTCGCGACGATTAAGTCGCCTGAAGTCTGACCGGGGCCTTACGTATATGCCATTTTGAAGTAAGTCATGAAATGTCCCGAGTCCGGTTAGTTGATTCCTACTAACAGCTCTTGAGGTCAATGCAGATGTCCTGTTCCTCTACTCAATCGTAAGTCAGGTTCCAGACTTATCGTGCTCAAAGGCAGTGTCCTGGCAAATTCGCGCCTTGGGAGATATTGCTCTGGTGAGGTTCCTGGTCATTCCACTCCAGGCGCAGTCCGGTTAGTTGATGTTCCACCCGGGTAGAGGACTATATGTCGCCGAATTTGGAAGAGTCCTGCGCGGATTCCCTGCAGGAACGCATGTCCGCGCATGTACAAGGGTGCGTATTTGTCGCAAATGACCGCGGGGACCGCCCTTTTTCGGCGACCTAATGTCCCCCACCCCTCCACCCGTTCCACCCTGGGCCGGGAAAATAGCCCTTCAACCGGCGCGCGCTCGGACGACTTCACTTACCGTTCGGCGCGGGACCCCACGACCGTTCTCCCGCATTGTGCATGCTATCCAAAGCAAAAATTACAGGCCAGGTTTTCGTGCCAGGGTCTCCCTTCCATCGAAATTCTCGTCCGATCTGCCTTTTTGACATTGGTTAGACGCCCCGAAAAAGGTCTTTTCACCCGTTTCAAAGCTCAGATTTGGGGTCTACGGGTCGAAAAGGCCCAGAACATGCAAAAAGATGGAGATGCAAAATCTGCCGGTACACTGCCTTTGACCGTTTCATGCTTGATCACATTCAATGAATTGCCAATCATGAAGCGGCTAATCGAATATAGGCTGCAGCGTACGAAGGCGCAATATCTTTAGGCGCGAACGCGGCTTTATTACCGCAGAGCTCAGGAGGCGCAGGATTTACAACGTTGAGGATACTGCTATTGCGCCTTCGTCATGCAGTAGCCTCTAAAATCACTACTTCCAGGCAAGACCTAAGGTAACCAGAAACGGTTCAAGTAATTATTGCGGTTCTTATGATGGAGAAAGTCGTTGCAGAATGGCACTATTCTTTCTGGACGTAGTCATGTTGAAAAAAACGTAGAAAACGACCCTTGAAATGGGTGATGTGCAGCGCGCGGTACGGTATAGTTGGCCAATCGGGAAAAGGCAAAGTGCTGAAATGGAACGCGTTCGCACCGTCAGAGGCTTGCACCGGACGTGCGTGCGAAGCAGTGCAAGAGAGATCGAAGAAGATGGGGAGAGAACAGCCAACTAGACAACTAGAGGGCCGGGCATACTTTACGCGATTTCGACGCGATTTGGCAATATTCCAACTGTCTATAACTCACTGTAAGCACATTTTAAATGTACAAAAGATACGGCATTTCATCAATCCACGTAAGTTATGCACACTATGCATGTGCAGTTTGCTAGTGTTGCATCTGAAGACTTCTGGCGAATCGCCAAATCACGTCGCGACTGAGATAGCGTGAAGTACGCCCGGCCCTTAACACGGCCACTATAGTAAAACCGTAGAGTGCCTCGAACCATGACGGTGCGGACGCGCTTCATGTCAATATTGACCGGACCCTGATTGGTACAGACGGTACCCTTTGGTTCAAATTAGCGGCTGGAAGGCGGGGCTTCGAGGCCTGATCAAGGCTGAAGAATGATCAGAGAGCACGTTCGCCAGAGAGGCGCAGATTGCGCGAGGGTTGCCCTCCAGCCGCAAATCCCGTTGAATCAAAGGGTAGATATCGGTAACAGATGACCCATGTATAAAGAACTTGTATGCGAAGGTTACCCCGGACGAAGGCGGATGCCCAATGAGGTGAACGCATGCGAACGCAGTGCGCAAACGATTATGGCGTACGCCATACTTGAGCCATTTTGATCCGCTAGGTCCACATTATTCCGCTACTGGTCAAATCAGTGAGTCCAGTAGCAAAGTGAAGCAAGTGGACATCCACTTCGCTATTGATCCGTTCACTGATATGACCAATACCAAGCGGATCAAGTGGATCAAGTGTGGCGCGTGCCTGTGGGCTCGAGTGTCGCTGCTACGCGTCCCAATGTTTGTGAAGCAAATGTATATATCGTTTATTCGTTGACCGTAACGACTGCTGACCGCGCGGCGACCGCTGCGCGTGCATGATGTTTTCGTAAAAAAGATGAATAGAAAGAAAACAGAGGATTCCTCTCATCTTTATAATGTAGAAAAGAAACAAAGAATTCTTCTCATCTTGAGCCACGGTCCAACTTGTCACTTTTTCGCCAGTTTAGAAGGCACGCGTCGCAGTCGCCACGCGGTCGGCAGTCCGTACGGTCAACGAATGAACGATACTTCAGTGTGATAGTATGATTTGTGTCCCAGTGTTCTTCTCATATTTACCACCGCATCGCACCATAATCTGATTTGTGTCCTAGCGTTCTTCTCATACTTACCATCGCATCGCATGCCTCTCGCTCTTGCGAAGGCTTTGGAGAATCTTTGTCAAAAATTGAAATCTTGGTGCTTCTGTACCAACGCGTCAAAACAGCAAATGGGCTGCGTGGTCGCGGTAGTAGCTATGGGAAGAACCTCGGGATACAGTTTGTATGTATTTTAGTATGGCTTCATTTCCTTCAAAATGATTAGTTTCCCAAAGGTGTTCTTGTGATGCAATCGCCTTTCTCCCGATATCTCCCAAGAGTTTTTTTTCACACCTCTATTCTATTTTTTGCGACTTGCGATCCAAACAAGTCATTCCTTTTGAACTCGATTCTTCGCTAGTTGGTCGCTCAAACCTTACAAGATAAGGAGAGAAAGATCCGTGCCGCTTATGATGAAGCTTGCTTGTACCCCCCCCCCCCCTTTTTATAAGGACTTTATGACACTGGATTATAGGTCGTAAAAGGCACTTTTGGCTTACCGTAATCAGAATTAGGCGTGACGGTAATGTTGGCTGCACAAACATGTAACTTCACGCCTCGGCCTGTTACCGCGCGATACGCCGCCTCATCATTGGGACGAAAATGATGGCTTCCTTCGGTTTGGCTAGTCCATCCCGAATATCTGTTCTGTTTTCCCGTTACTTGTGTTTCCTCCTGGGGAGTGTTGCGAAAGAAGTGTTGCGAATGAAGAGATTAGATTGTATCTTCTTGCTGCAATCACCGATGACATCGTTCACTGCTGGATACATGGTTAAGTGTGGCACCAAGATAAACAAGCTTCTTGCAACTACTACCAGAAACAATGCTTCATGAATGGAATTTTCTGAAGCTGACTTCTAGCAGCAAAACAGCGCTCATAATGTAGATTTTAGTTACAATTTACTAATTACGCGCACAGATCTAGCTTTGCGCTCGTCCTTTGACATGTCATATGACTGCTATACACGAGTTTAATTGTCTTTACTTCCAAGTGAACTATTTCATTTAGGCGACGTATAAGAATGCTTAGCTTTTCGCCCGTGCACTGACAAGATCTCGTTTTTTGAGCTCTTAGCCATCAACAAAGTTGACAAAAAAGTTCAAAGACCGGTCATGAACGAAAACGATACCTATACTCATTAAAGGATTCGTCAAATTGGAAGAACTACAACATACTTTATGTGACGTTTATCATCGGAAGATAAGCAGCGCAGAACAGAACTGATTATGCAGTGTCTTGATGTCAATTGAATACAATAACTTCCCTCTCCCTTTGACGGCTTTGTTTCAGTTTACAAGGACTAGGATCACGGTCACTATAAAGCGTACCAATTTGGCGTCAATCGCCTGTCCTTGTTGCCATGTTAATCATTTTCGAGTGTCAAAACAGACTAGACGAGCGTATCACCTTGTTGACTAAAAGACTTACACGGGAAGGATCATTGGTCCAAGTTCCCCTTAAGATTGAGTCATATTTTTGAAGGAAGGAAGTTGATTTCAAATTTGTTATCCTTGTCTGCGGAACACCTAAGGGTGAAGCTAGACCGTTTCAAGCAATATGCTACCCACATCAATCCCATGATATATGCTACAGTCTCGTTCCATCGCAGCATAGTTTATTGGACGCAGATTTGCATGTTTCTGCAGTCAACAATACCGTCACGCCTAATTTCGTTACGGTAGGTCAGAAGTGCCTTTTACAGTCTATAATTCAGTCTTTATGACATCTACTACGACAGTAGACGCTATTGACATATGCGTTGTGAATAATTTTTCCATACGTCCCATCAAGTTTTAAGTAAACTTGATGGAACTTAGAATGGAACGATGTAAAATAGAGGGAAGAAAGCAATTGCAAAAGTGACAAGTTCAGACCGCATATACAACTACTACAGAAGGGACTTCCTTACCTCGTAAGCTCAAAACATGGACCCTTCGCTTCTAGCGATCGTTAGCTACACTCGATGGGAAGTTGTACAGGCCATATGACAAAATTAATAATCATGGCTTCACAGACGCGAGATTTAAACACGGCCAGCTCCCGAAAGTTTTGCGAATGTTCAAATTGTTTCAAGACATGAATGGAAAGGAGTCCAAGACATGAGGAAGGAAGAGGAGCAGCTTCAAATATACATTTGAGCTAACAAAAATCAGAAACGGTGTAGAGCTCACGCTGTAGATAGTCACGTACAAGTGAATGCATAGAATGCATGCTCAATCAATTGCCAGAAAAAAACTACCACAACAAGGAATCAGCAATGGTAATATCTTAATCTTTTTTTAGCAATGCCACACGGAACTCGTATATAGAGCTCCTACAACAAAAAAGTCTTTGAAGCAAGGTCAAATAGGTCGATTTTGTCCAAAAGCACCTGATAATCTGATAATCCAAAATAACATCATTCCAATGAGCTTTGTTAATTCCTGAAGTCCCTACACCTACAAGCTTCCCACTGAAAAGCAACAGTGACGTATGGAAGCAGAAATGACAAGTGAACGTCTGCCTTGCAGAAAGCGAAATAGAATTTTTTGCAACGCTGGCAATAGCGCGCAAAATTTGCAACGGAGCATTCTGGTGTCCTTTCGGATCACCGAGTCCAAACAGCCTCCCGCTGAGCAGTGAAAAAGTGTGTAGTGAGCATGGAAATAGAGACTGATGGACTGAGTTGACATCATGAATACCGCTCAAATTTATAGAAAAGTTTTCATGAGTTTCTGCGCTTACAAGTTTTTATATGGAGTCGCGTGGTCCCTAAATATAACATGTTGAAATAGGGTATAGTATCAAATACCACCGATAGCAGCGGCCTCCCGGACCACTAGTCCTTTAGTAAACCCTATTGAGCACCATGTGAGGAGCAGTAGACCGCAGGGGCGGCTCCTAACGTGCGTACAGATGCATAACAGGCTCAAACTTGTTCACTTTTTCATGGAGTGGTAAAGCATCCAAACTGAGGAAAAGAACCAGTTCTATTATGTGAGGTTGGCGCATGATGTCTGAAGACTCTCCCGTAAACAGAGAACACTGAGCTTTCTCGTTAGAAGAAAAACAATGGTCGGAAGAAGTCCACCATTATCTCCATTGAACGCTGCGTATGATTTTAATCCCAAGGAAAGCAAAAATTTGTGGGACCATTCGGCGCGAGATGGGCGTGGCCTGGGCGGAAGCTACACGTTACAGCCGCGAGAGCGATTTGAGTTATTGCAATGTCAGCACGCTCTGCAGTCGCTCATCAAGCGCCATTTTTTTCGCCTCGACTTTTTGACGCCGAGTTCGAGAGGCCATATCAGCGATTGTGCTTGAATTGCCAGTGCTTGTGCCACGTCCTCTCGTTGGCAGAAGCGGCCTACGGTGAAAAAACCACTGGCGGTCGGGTGAGCGATGTGAAACGCTCATGCACGGGTTGTGCAAAAACTGGGCAGTGGGTAACTGGCCGTGCCATCCATTCGAAGGCCCAACATCATTCAGAGCATGTGAAGATCGCGGAAAGTTCTAGAAACTTAGTTATTGAGGAGCACATTATTCAGGGGACGCATGAGTGGCAGCTGCAGGGCAAAAAATTGTCATGTTGAGTAGTGAATAGGAAAGAGAAAATGGGTGGGAACACTGAGTTCTCAAATGACGCGATGATCGCATATCAAAAAGCTGAAGAAAAGACTTATTAGACAAGTTTGTGCATGATATTTTTGGTATACATTATGCTCGCACCTCGTTCAAAGTGTCAGTACTTTTGATTTTAAGAGCCGGATTTCAAGAGTGATTAGGCTAGACAAGGTTCAGACAAGTCATATAGAACATACATTTCCAGAAGTAACGACATCGGCCTACAGTAGAAGAACTGTACGGCATTGTCATCAACTTGTGCAGCTGGTTGAATAGAGATGTGCAGTTCGAAAGTTCTCATTGAATCATTATACAGGGTGTCTCAAGAAGACGTGCCCACTGTTTGATTGTTAATAAATTCCTTGTGAAAAAAGTCTTTCGAGGAGCTTAAGGTACCGTATTTAGAGCTGGCGCCAACTTAAATTTACAGTATGAGGCGAACTTCCCTCACCCAAGAATCTTCTTCATTACTGTAGCTGTAGGAGCACGGCAGGAACGTGCAGCATATGACGCCACTGTGAAAATAGCCTTTTGTAATACAATTTCCAAAATTATTTGAAAAATCGTATAGTGGGGTTCTCATGCATGCTGATTTTGGTACGCAAATTTTTGCGCTTTCATGGAGTTTTTAAATGATTAATCAGATTTTTGACGATTAGCAGGAATTGGTTATTGTGGTAGATCTGGCTTAACCTATGAGAAATGCGTTACGGTGAAGTGCGATTTCCATGTTTGGATTCAGCGACTTTGATTAACCTAGGTTTGAAAACTTTCAGCTCCTTCAGTTCTAATTCAGGGGTGAAATATAATGAAAAATATAATAAACTAGTTGACTTACCCGGCTCCGCCCGGCCCTGTCATTATTATATTCGTAATCAGCATGCTCGATTACCCCCCTGTGCCAACTCCCAGCCCCGTAGCTCAAATCTTGCAAAAAATCGATAAAATCGAAATCGATCGATGACGAAAAGTAGCCTATGACAACCGCCGGGGCCCGAAGTGTATGTGTGCCAAGTTTGGTCCGGATCGGTTCAGAAATGGAATTTTCTATTCGGAACATACGTACACACAGACAGACATACATACAGACAGACAAACAGATATTCAGCTTTATATATAAGATAATACCTTTATTTATTCAAAACCTTCCTCAAAGTTCCCACCATAATCCTACAGTAATGAGGATAGATTTTTAAATTGCTCCATACTGTGAATCTATAGTTGATTCGTTGACCGCACGTACCGGATATCATTGTGGAACACGCGTCGCGATATAAAACGCTTGTCCCAATACAAGCCATTGTACAAGTCGTGCTCTCGCGACAATTTAGCCGCGCCGCCCGCGTCTGCAGCGTCTGAGCAGTCCGTGCGGTCAACGAATCGACGATAAGTTGAAGCCAGTTCCACCAAATGGTACCTAAAGCTTCTCAAATGACTTCATTACAAGATGTAGTAACAACCACACAGTAGGCACATCTGTTTGGGACATTCTGTAGTTGGGAAGAGAAAGAAATTAACTCAATTATTTATATCGCACGCTAATTCCAGACTTGCTTTAGGTATCTGCAAAGCGCTTCCGGGAGGAGTTACGGAAACTTTTGAAGCCAAAAGTTGAACGCGCAGCTACATTAAAATCATTCAGAACTGTAGTCTATGAGCTCAACTGGGGCCATGGTTACTGTCAGGGCGCTTAATGCAGTTAATACCTTCAGTGTGATAAGCTTATACTAGTCACTGTTCCTTTCAAGCGCCGGAGACTCCAACACCTTAGCCAAATTTTTGAAATCAAAAAAAATTCCTAAAACTCCGCTTCCAGAAGCGCTTTGCAGATAAGGGAAACAGATTTGGAATCAGCGATCCATGCTCTATGAGATAGTACACATTTCATATGGAAACTCCACTTCGACCAAATACACTTCCCTTGTCAGATTCAACCATGAGCGGAAGCACTGCGCTCGTACGAGTGGTGGATTTGATAACGAAGAAGTTCAGAAAGCGTCAGTGTGAAGATGAAGGGCAAGCTCTACAAGATAGCGTTCTTGCTTTTGCACCAGCTTCGATATGCCTCGAGTTCGAAGCCGAAAACTAAAAAGTTCTAAGTGTTCTTGAAATCGAGGAAGAATCGTAACCCCGCCCGAGAAAAACAAGACAACCCCACAGAAATCCTAGTATTATCCACATCGGACAATTATATACCATTGCTGTTTTTTTCCTCGGTTAGAAATCACGAAAACGAAGTTTTCGTGATTTTGTCAAATTGATGCTGTGCTGTCCACATAAGTATTCGGTTGTTTCATAAGTTTTTTCAATTTTGACTTTCTAAAGCAATAATTCAAAACTTGTCAATTCTGATTATGATGCAAGGTACCGTTCGATAGAGCAAAGCAAGCTCTATAAGATGACCTGTAAGTGTTTGCACCAGCTTCAGCACATCACGATTCAGAAGCCGATATCTGAGAACTTCTGAATGCCCAGAAAATTGAAATTTCTTCATAACCTTGTCCAAAGAAAACTTACCAGGTACCAAACTCATTCACGCATATATACTCCAAACAACATACTCATATGTGTCGTTGCTGTGTTTGTTTCTGCGTTAGAAACTGGGAAAACTAAAATTTTCATGCTTCCAAAGAAACGATGCTGCGTTGTTTGCACAGGTAAATGTATACTACAGGCCTTCAACAATACATCTGTAAATTTTCAGCTTCCCGGAAGCGCTTGTTCTTGAGAAATGCCAAATCTAGCTTTTTTTGCTAAGGTATTACATGTTGAAAATAATATTTCTTGGGAACTAGAACATATAGAAAGCTGGAAATTTGCGACTGTAGTTCTATAGGCTTGGTATACATTTACCGTGTGAAAACATCGCAGCGTCGCTTTTTTGGAACGGTTTCTAGAACAGAAACAAACACAGCACATATGAATGTGTTCTGTGGAGTGTGCGTGAGCGAGTTTGGGACTTGGCAAGTTTTCTTCGGACAAAGTTACAGAAAACTCTCAATTTTTTGGGCATCCAGAAGTTCTCGGATTTCGGCTTCTAACATTCATGATGTGCTGAAGCTGGTCAAACAATTCATCAATATTATTATATTATTCAACATCATTATTATTATAATCAGAATTGTGGAGTATGTGAGTTACTGCTTCAGAAAGTCAAAATTGAAAAAAACTTATGAGACAACCTAATATTTGTGTACTAGAAACGTATATTTCCAGCTTTCCACAAGCTCTAGTTTTTAACAACATTTTTGTTCGCACATCAAAAATGTTACAAAAATTACCACACGAACTTTCGACATGTGCTGAATAGTTCCTCTTTCAGAAGAGAGCTTAAAAAAGAAGACTTAATGACTTTTTTGCAGGTTCAACGTATCTCACTTCCCTTCTTTCATGACTGCGCGGTTGCAACCAGACATGTGCAATGAGCATGATTCGTTACGAATATGCATTGACTAGCAGCCATTTTATAACTTTGCATATGTTGAACTCTACTGCTTTTGAGCTTTTTACTAACATTGCTCTCTTCACCATGTGGTTCACCTGGGTCGCACAGCTTGCTATATTTTAGCCTGTTTCGCACAGCTTGCTTTTGCTTGAAGATCATGTTATGCTTATTCTTACTTCGGAGTTGGGCTCTCCTCGGCAGACTGGTTGGGCTATAAGCTCCGGTTTGTTCCTTGGAAATCTTTTGAGATCGTGGCTAGCAAACGAAGGGGCATGGGTACCATCTCCTTAGATTACAATTCGTTTAGATTCATATTCGTTCTGCAGTACTTGACAGTATTCTGTGCACATGTAGCAATGCTCATGGAGTTTTGGGCTCTCCCCGGCAGGCCAGTAGGTGCTTACCCGCCGTCGTTTGCTTGCTTGAACACTTTAAGATCGTTTGCTGGCTAATGCGGGGGCATGGGTTCCATCTCTGTGGATATAACTCATTATTGACATTCGTAATATCGAGCAGTCTTCTTGCAAGCTAAATCGTTATTCTTTAGTTTGAATGAAGTCTGGGCTTGAAGCATATGATGTTGTATTCGTGCTTTGTGTAAAACTAACAATTACATTTTTTTATGGTACGTCTCGAGCGCATTTGATGAAAATGAAAATGAAAATGAAACAAATCAGCTTCCCTTATTCGGCTGTCTCACACTAATCTATATTTTTTGAAGGTAGAACTTATAGAAAGCAAAAAATTTGCTTTTGTGCTTCTGCAGGTTCGTATATACAGTCACTTACGTGGGAACTGCACAACATCATACTGGCAGAAGCATGGAAATCTATTTTTGATTTCTAATGGAAAAAATTACCAGCGGTATATATGGATGTCCAACGATAGTATATATGTGAGTAGGTTAGAACTGTGAGGTATTTTTGTACGTAGTTACGAATTT